ACTTTAATCCTGACTTATAACTAAAACAGGAATTTGTAGTAGTCATCTTTGTAACTGTAGAGAACAAGGACAGGCACTCTGCAAGAAATAAACAGGTAGAAAATTGAGAAAACATAGTCAATTTTGGTAAAAGGTGCTATTGTATTTCAAATTTGTGTTAGGCTTCCTCATCAGGAGACCAAATAAATTTGTCCAACAGTTATTGGACAAATTTAACGTTGTTCTAAAAGATCTTATATCCCAGTTGAAATCATAGTGCCTTATGGTTCAGGATTTCACATTATAATGGTTCCAGATTGCAGCTCCTTTAGTGAATCTTGCAAAGAGAAAATTCAGTGGCCTTTAACACTAATGTCAGTCTTGGATACTATAGAACTCTTGTAGTGTTTATACAATCACCTAAAATCTGCAAAACGATCTTCCAGATTCAGCATGAGAGATTTATACTGTATTGCTAGTATGCCTAGGAATACTTACTTTTTTTCGATTTTGATGGTATAGATTTCATCACAAACTTGTTTAATGTATCTTTGCTTCGGCAATCGAGACATCAATTGTTTCACAGTTGTATAGAAAGCTTGGTCATCAAACTGAGAAGATGGAAAATATTCAAACCAATACCTTAGTCTGAAACAGGGACTGTGAAAAAAGTAATGCTGAGAACATCAGGGTGTTTTTATTTTTTTGGGGGGGGGGGGATATAAATAGAGATTATAATCTTTGATTTTTTGGAAAAGCAACTTACAAAAATGGGTATGTTGAATTTCCTCTATGCCAGGGATGAGATTTTGCTTATATAATGTATATAATGAATGTTCAACTTTATTTAAGCTTTTTAAAAACTCAAGTTATTAATTAAATCCACCAGTAAAGGCCAGTAACTTAATTTGTAGGTTTACCTCTAATGATAAGAAGTGTATTATAGTTTCCTTTGGTAGATCAACCTGTAAAAAAAATAAAACACAAAATCATTATAATGACATAAACTATGAGATACAGTTACATTTGTTTCATTTAGTCCATGTTAAATTGGGTCTTGCAGAAGGCTAAATCTAGACATGGCTTTTCCAACAAGCGGGCCTGGCCTAGGGAGGATTTTAAATTGGGTTTCTTAGAAATTTTAATTACCACAACTCTAAAAAATTGGTTTTAATTTGGTTTTATTCGGTGGGGTGTGTGGGTTTGTCTTTGTTTTTAAAAATGTTGTGAGCCGCCCTGAGTCCTTCGGGAGAAGGGCGGGATATAAATTGAATAAATAAATAAATAAATAAATAAATATAAGGTAGTGGTGGCGAACCTATGGCATCGGTGCCAGAGGCGGCACTCGGAGCCCTCTCTGTGGGCACACACACCGTCTCCCCAGCCCTGCCTCCTCCCACTGCCCCCTCACTAGCAGCCCCCCGGAGGAGAGTCACCCCTGGGCGAGGCCCACGTGAAGCAGCGCAGCCAAGGACATGGTAGCTGGGCAGCGGGGCAAGACTCTGCCCTTGCACCCCGTCATGCGCAGATGATGCTGCAGGGCATGGGCGGAGGGCGTGGCTGCCATGGCACTGCTGGGCTGCCTGGTTTATCTGTGGCGGGCTGTGGAGGTGGTGGGTGGCCCAGTGGGCAGGGCGGAGCAGGGACGGGGGTGCGGGGGCGGTTTTTGGGCACTCAGTCTCTAAAAGGTTCGCCATCACTGCTATAAGGTATCCAAATTTTGGACTGTTTACCAGCACAAAAATTAATTAGATTGAATTTCCTCAAGCTCTGCAAGAAAGATTAAAAGTATCAGAAGTCCTGATCTGTAGTCACATAGATGCATACTGCACTCATTCATACCAGGTTCTGATGACCAATAAATAAATATCCAAACCCCAACCAGAACAGAGTTTGAAAGCCTGAACTCCGACATTACAGAAGTTCTAAAAGAGGTTTCCCTTTTGGATTCCCATCAGAATATTCTGGCCCAGGCTTAGTTAGGAAATTAATAGGTCAATGAAGTCCCTAATACAGAGTACTGTCACTCCTTTCCCACACTCAATGCTCCGGATGCCCATTATTACCTTTTGTTGCGGGCAAGTTATTAGAGGCAATCATTACAAGGTTTTGGAAAGACTCAGGATAAAGAAAGTGATTTCAATGGATTTCATATAAGTGAACAGGGAATTTACCAATGGATTTCATATAAGTGAACAGGGAATTTCCAGGAATCAATAATGAAACATTGATTCCTGGAAATTACATCTGTACATCCGATATGGCTTTAAATCGTTACTGGTTTCTTATCCGGTTATCCAGTTAACAATTGGCTTGTTGTAAAAAAAACAAAAACAAAGTAACTTACTGCTAAAATTTCAACTTCACTCAGCTTCAGCGGGAAATTAGTAAAGCAAGCTTGGAGTTTGGTTTGTACCTGGAAGTTACATTGGATTAAAATAATTAACAAACCCAGACACAAACACAGAGAGAATATTTTATTTTTATATTAAACAAGTATACCTGTTAACTGTTCTTAACTCAAAAGTGACACACAGGGAATTATCTTCATATTTATAAACAGCGGGAGAAGGGGGTGCATTCTCAATTCCATTCTTGAAATCCCTACACTCATGGATTTCCATCTTTCCATCTCCTTTTCCAGATTAATAAGGGAAAGCCACACCTGGACTTTCTCCAGTATATCTTTCTGGAGTGATTTTCTTTTTTCACACAAAGACCACCTTATTCCTGGATTTAACCAAGAAATAGCTTCTGAAAGCTATGGCAAAAGACGGTGTATCTGCCCTTTCCCAAAAAGAAATCAGTTCCAGGTTCTCTACTTTTACCCAATTGTCCCCTGCCCCTCCCAGCCCTACTCCTGATTCTGTAACCACCTTCCAACTGTACTGGAGAAATGCTTCCTTAAAATCAGATTTCAAAGAAGGAGAAGTGCATCAGCTAGACAGGGAACTGAACTTGCTAGAGGGAGAAAGAACTATTAGATTAGGAAAGGAAGCAGCTCTGAGAGAAAAACATTAAGAAATGAATCATCCCGCCATATCATTTGATCTTTGTCTCCCTCTGTCTTCAAATATAGGACTGGAGTTAAAATAAAAGTTTTGTAGAAGAAAGTTTCTGGGCTCAATCTTTAGAATTCCAGATGAAACAGAGAGACCTCTAACTGATATCCTAAGGAGTCACTAGCACAAAGAGTACAAAAAAGTGAAAATAGAGAACTATTTTTAATATTTATTATTATTAACGTATGGCGTTGTTGCAGTAGCCAGGAGACCACAATGCTACTGCAGAGTAGTACTTTGGCTTGCCAAGGTATCAGCTCTGTTATAGGAAATGCTTGCAAGCTTCCCAAAGTACGCCACAGGTGGGCGAGTTGGCTTCGCGCCAGAGAAAGATGAGCGACTCTTCCTGCAGCGTCACTCAAGGTCCCCTCCCTTCCTGGAGTTGCCTCGCAAACAGGCGCAAATCCGGGAAGGTTCAGAACTATCAGGAATTTGACTGTTTGTACAGAGCACCAGCTCATCTCCCCATTGAAGTGATACCTATTTGTTTACTTGCATAGACATATGCTTTTAAACTGTTAGGTGGACAGAAGCTGAGGCGAGTGACAGGAGCTCATCCGACCACGCAGTGCTAGGGCTCAAGCCGCTGGAGCTGAGATCAACCCCAGGGTCATTAAGCCACTGAGCCACAGCGCCGCATGAATAATGAACTAAAAGGACCAGAATTCTGCTTGCCTACTCACCATTTCTTGTATTTCTTTCAACTTCTATACAATCTTTGTGGTATAAATTCAAAACTACAAGTCATATTGCAATTTAATTATTGAGAGAAGAGATACATTTATAATACCTGAGCTTCGTAACGTCGTTTGACACTTGCTGACAACTTTTCTGGTGGAATAATGCACACATTTGGTATTATCACCGTTCCATGTGATTCAGACAAACCTGAAATACATAATGATTTAGTTAAAAGTTCCACTATTTCTCATAGGTGCACAGTAGAACAGGGACTATAAAAAGTTTGTCTGAAACCTCATTCAGATTTTGGATGCTGGACCACAGGTTTTATTATTAAAACTTTCCTTTTAAACTACCCCCATCCCTCCTCACATGCCTTATGTACGATCATTTGAATACTAATTTTCAAAATAATACAATTATAGATTCATTTATATTATCAAATAATACAATTATAGATTCATTTATTTATGCAGAAAATAAATGAATCTATAATTGTATTATTTTGAAATAATACAATTTTGAAATAATACAATAATTTTGAAATGGACTGCTTTTCCATTTTAATCTCCACCTCTGCTACATAAATAACTACTAGATTTCTGAAAATACAACACACTAGTCATTGCATACCTGAATTACTGGAAAGCGATCCTTTTAGATTTTGGGTTGTAACATTATCAGAAATTTCTCTAAAATAGGATTAAAAAACCAAAGTTTGTAATTCAGTATTGATTTCAAAATAACAGATTAGGACAGAAACTGATACTTTATTAATAACTGAAAGCATTATACATTTATTTGTGAATTACCAAGAATTGCTAGGTAGTGTAAAATATATAATATATATTATTATATACTGCTCAAAAAAATAAAGGGAACATTTTACCATAGAACTGAAGGGGTTTGCGTTCCCTTTATTTTTGTGAGCAGTATATATAATATATAATGTTTCTAATTTCATTAAAAAAATAATAAGTATATAATATAATACTCTTCAGCATATATTAATTGACTATCTTTGTAACATTCACAAAGTTGGATCCAGACTTAATCCTTTGTGGGATGAAGTCATTTGTCAGTATTTTCCAGCCCTAGTACCAAATTGTTTCAAAAGACCTCTCAAAGCTTCTATTTTATGGAAGTCTGGAACCAATTCAGTGTATATTACATATAAATAATTTGAATTCCATCCAATATTTACACAGGGAAGATCCCTCCCCCCAAGCCTACAGCCCCAACATTTATAACATTTCAGTTCAAGACATATTACAATAAAGCCAAATCACTGTATGGTGCATTGTTTATAATCTTTAAGGTGAATCACTGCAAAAACTACAGCACAACCACTTTGTTTATGGTATTTCATTTCCTGCTGCAAATAATTCTTGTCTTATTCTTCAAGTTAGAGTACTTGTTGCTACCTGCTATTTCTTTCGTCATAGAATTTGGTCCTCAGTTTCTGGGCCAGATGATCTACTACATCAGACTCCAAGATTCTTTTTTCTGTCTGCCTTTCCCTTTCAAATGATTTTACCTGCAAAATAGCCCCCAAAAGTGTTAAAGCCTTTATACTGCTAAACCTAAAGAATGAATTATCAGATTTAAATCAGGAAATGGATGAGATGCAAGTAAATGACCCCTTAAAAAACCAGCAGCCTGAAGGAACGAAACTAGCACTGACCAATAAGACAAGTAAGGCCTTTGCAAGACCTTTCTTCATGCCTGATATCTGCCCCAGTTATATTCATACAAAACTTTTAAATAGGCATGAAAGCTGGCTGGGTGACTTTGGGCCAGTCACTCTTTCTTAGCCCAATTTACCTCAAAGGATTTATGTTGTGGGGAAAATAAGAGGAAGAAGGAGAATTAGGTATGATCTTCTCCTTGGTTTATTTATAAAAATAATAAAGAGGGGATAAAAATCTAGTAAATAAATAAATGCATTGAGTGGACAGAGTTGAGAAAGGAAGTATGAAATGATGCCACCATCACATTTACCTTTACATGATTTCCTTCTTTATCATAAATGAGGGCCACATAGGTGATTCCAGAACATCTGCAATACTCCTGTAATTCTTCCTGGGACTAGCACATTATTAAAAAGGAATAAAATTATTTTTATATTGCTAAAGAGTTTTTTCTCTTCCCCAAAGAAATTTGAGTAGTATTTAAACAGAAATAGATTTAAATCCCTTCCTTTTTAATAGCTTGCTGGAGGCCAGTCGTTATCTTACAGACTGACCTATCTTTTATCTATTTATCACATTTGTATACTGTTATCTTTTATGACTGTAAGCTCCTCAGAGTTACCCTGAGGTAAGATGGGGGGGGGGCAGTAAGTTTTGCAAATAAATAAAAATAAGTAAAATAAATTATAATCTCCAAAGACTCCAAATGATCTGCATTGAAACATTTAGCAGTACAAAAGAATTCCAAATATTAAATAAGTACAGAATCACTTAACAACCTTCTTACTAACTGAACAACTGCAAGTGATTCACTTAACAACCATGGCACGAAAGATCGTAAAATGGGGCAAAACTCACTTAGCAACGGAAATTTTAGTTGTAAGTCGAGGACGACTTGTAATATAAATATTAATATAACATCTTAAAGTAATTAAACTGGCCCATTTTAAAACAGAGCAATGAACAATAAAAATAAATTTTACTTGGCTGATATGGAAATAATTCCATGGAAAGGAAAGATTAAGGATGATGATCTATCTAATACTCCAACTAAGCCTTTTAACACTCACACAATAATAATAAACTGTTTCGATTTCATTGTGAAAGATAGATGGAATCCCTTCTGAAAAAAATAATGCTAGAAAATGCAGAGTTTTACAATGAATTCAGTAGATTCTACTAGTGCATCCAGTTTTATTAATAATTAATATTTATGGAAAGCTACTTTAAAATGGTTACAGAAATCAGTCAGTGTCAGGATATAGCAGGCGTTTGCTTTATTTCAATGTACCACAGAGCAACGGGAGGTTATAACAGCGAAACTAAGATGCTCTCCAGAGCCACACAGCTTTCAACAGGAGGCAGGCTGATTACAGTCATGTTCAGTGCTCTTTTAATGATCCTTTTACTCTAGGGCAGGGGTAGGCAACCTTGGCTCTTTTAGGACTTGTGGACCTTGGCTCTTTTAGGACTCGTGCCTACCCCTGCTCTAGGACAAGTACTCAGAGTTTTGGTAAGCCTGAAAGATGCCATATGTAAAAAAAAAAACCCCACTTAAAACTCCCGACACCTTATAATAATAGACCAATCTGTGATTGGTGGTTTTCAAAGGCAAGACAAGTAATTCACAAGTGAATTTTCTGCTGGGAGCTGAAATTTTTCCTCCTTTAATGAAATCTTCTTTAACTTAGCTTTGCTTACTATTCTACTCCTGGTGTGCTTGGAAAATGCATATAAGCTCAGAAACAACAATAATTAACATATATAATAAATGACAACTTACCTGGGACCAGTCATACATAATTTCAGCTGCAATTCCTGCAGCCCAGAGCTTCTGAACAACATTTATGGCTCTTTCCATTGACTTCTGGCCAACACTAACAACTAACAAATCACAAGAGCTCACTGTAAACTGGAAGAAAAGAGAAATGGAAACCAGAATGTTATTTACTTGGATGGATTTGTTCTGAAATCATTTAAACTAGAAAGGCAATGTTATTCTAAGGTTAAGATATTCTTGGTCACTTAATACAATCCATATTACAATTCTGATCATGTTTTTTTGGGGTATGTGAGACACCCCCCCCCCAAGACAACATCTTGGCTCTTCTGAAGAGATATATTAAGCAGTGTAAAATTACCATTTTCTGCACTGCCCTCTTTTATTTGTAATTACAATTAGGTACAATTACATACAATTAGGTAATGGAAATAGTAATGCCAATCTGAAACTGAGTTATCTCATTTCATTATTTAGATTGCTTGAGAAAGATCTATATTTCCTACCCTTTATGGAGTCTACCTGAAATATGCAAAGTAGAAAGACAAACATACTGGCTCTTCCATATTCAAAACTGTGGAACTTATTCTGTCTACAGCAATGCTGACTCCAACAGCTGAAGGAATCAGACCAACTGCATCTGGGCCTCTGAATTGTGAAATCTGCAGAAACCAGAAAAATTAATATGCTAGAAAATGAGCAGGGTCTTTTCGTATACCTTATAGGACAAATTTGTAACACTTACCATATGATCATATCTACCTCCAGCAGCAAGAATGTCAGTAACTGTTCTTTGTCTCCGTTTAATGTATGCAATAAACTGAAAAATAATTCCATTGTGCTGCTGTATTTTATAAACCAAGCCCAAATTTATGGATATCTGTAAGAGAAAATTCTTATGTCATTATTTTAATCACATCTCAGAGGTGGGCAAGCCTCAAACTACATGTGAGCCGCAAGGCCCATTTTCAACCTCCTGAAATTCCTACATTGAACTAAACTAAAAATTTTGGATACGCTATTTGTTTTTCTGGAAAATTTCAGGCACCAATATTAAAGTTGTGGCTACCATCTTGACTTTTTTGACTTGCCCCGCCATGAACACCCTTGTGAGGTAAACAAGTAACATCTCCTTTGCAATGATATATTACTGACACTTAAACAGAAACAAATAATGTAGTTAAATAAGATAAGGCAATCAACTTCCGGCTGCAACCATGGCGGACCTACCGGGGTTAGTCCCATGAGGAGACGGAGCCCGCAGCGGAAATGGGGGGCCTCCTGAGGGTCGACGGCCCTGGTTTGGGAGGCTGAGGTTGCTGAGGATGCTGAGCCTCGCTGGTGGCTGGTGTTGAGGGTGCCGAGGGCGCCGAGCCCGCTGTCAGCCGGGCGGAGGAAGACCGGGTGGAGGATGCAGCCCGGCTGCCCGGATGCGGCCTGGCGGCCTGGCGGCCCGGCGGAGGACTCAGCCGGAAGAACGGCGACCAGTGGGAGGCTCGGGCGGCCTGGAAGCCGAAAGATCGGGCGGCCTGGCGGCCCCGGAAGATCGGCGGCCGGGCGGCCCCGGAGGATCGACGGCAGGACCGGGCGGCCCTGGAGGATCGGCAGCCTGGATGCGGCCTTGTGGCCTGGCGGCCTGGCAGGGGATCCTTGGTGAAGAACTGGCCGGATGGAGGACCGAGATGCGGCCTGGCGGCCCCGCAGAGGATCCTTTCTGAAGGATCGGCCGGGTGGAAAACCTGGCGGGGATGGAGGATCTGGCTAGGTCGATAGACGGCCGGGCGGAAGATCTGGATGTGGCCCAGTGGAAGAACGGGTAGGCCTCTTCGGCTGGATGGTGGGGGGGGTTAGATGGAGGTTTGGTGGAAGAGGAGAGGGGCNCCTTATTGCTGGGACGAACACCAAGGACATTTGTTGCTGCCACTCCCTGTCCTATTTTTTCCATCTGACTCAGCACCCTGAACTGAACTAACGTACAGGAGGACGGTTTCCTCTCCCCCCCTTCTTGGCTTTTCCGCTGTGGGGACTTTGTGACTGACTGGTGATGTACCTTAGGATAGAACTGCTGGCCCTGCGCGATTCCCCCCTCGCGCAGGTGTGGCCCAATTCAATCCCAAGGGCCTGCCTCGATGACGGGGTGTGGAGCCCCGAGAGGTGGTATACAGCCAAAAGAGACCAAAAGAAGTTGAAACTAAGGGTCTTTTTAAAGGGGTGTTTTAGTAAATTTTTAAGGGGCACGGGGTTTTTAGGGGGTTCGGGGTTGGCCCGAGGGGACTTGGGGGAGCCCTCTCTGAGGCCAAGGCCGGTCCAGTCTGGGGGGCGCGGAATGGTGAGGGAGGAGACTGGGGGGTTAATAGAGGGTGGTGTGATTAGTACGGTCAGTGGGAGGGGCAGATATGGCGGGAGCAGAGGACCATATCGGGTTTTGGGAGCACGCACACGCTGCTTACAAGCTTGTGGGTGCTCCGATCCTCAAGGCTCTACTCGGTTTCCAGGGACTTCGGATCCTCGGGCCCAGGACCAGCGGCTGATGTTATGCAATGCCAGGTCCGTGGTAAATAAGGCCCCCCTCATTCAAGAGCTTATTCAAGAGGGGGGAGCGGACCTGGCAGGTATCACCAAGACCTGGCTGGGCATGGAAGGGGGAGTTCCCCTTGTTGATCTATGCCCGCCGGGTTTCCAGGCATTCCATCAGCCGAGGGCCCGGGGTAGGGGCGGTGGGGTAGCGGTCATTATAAGGGAGAGCCTATGTCCGAGGGAGACCACTGTGCCTCAGATAGACGGTGCAGAGTCCCTCCTTGTGAAGTGGGGACAAGGGGTACAAGTGGGCCTGTTGATTATATACCTGGCCTCCTGCTATGTATCAACGGCCCTGCCTGAGTTGGCCGACGTAATAGCCGGGGTGGCGGTGGAGACCCCCAGACTTATAGTCATGGGGGATCTCAATCTGCCATCTGCGGGCGAAACGTCGGCGGTAACTCGGGAGTTCTTGGCCTCCATGACGACCTTGGACTTGACCCAATTAGTTCATGGCCCCACTCACATAGGAGGACATACACTGGATCTAATTTTTGTCTCTGGCCAGTGGCAGAATGATCTGGAAATGGGGGAGATAATTATAGAGCCCTTGTCATGGTCAGATCATGCACTCCTTAGGATGGACTTCCGGACCGCTCCCCCCCGCTGCAGGGAGACGGAACCGCGGAGATGGTTCCGTCCCAGGCGCCTGATGGACCCGGAGAGGTTCCTGACGGAGCTTGGGCCATATCCGGAGGATCTAGTCCACGACTCGGCGGAAGATCTGGCCGCGGCCTGGGAGGTGGCCGCGGCCGCAGCACTAGACCGAGTCGTGCCGTTGCGGCCTCTGACCCGACGTAGATCTCAACAAGCTCCCTGGTTTACCGAGGAGCTGAGAGAGATGAAGCGCCGGAAAAGACGCCTAGAGAGCAGTTGGAGGGCTACCCGAACCGAATCCGACCGAACACAGGTAAGGATGCATGTTAGATCCTACCTTGTGGCAATGAGGGTGGCGAGGTCTAATTACTACTCCACCCTCATTGCGTCATCAGATAATC